ATTCAGATTAAAGGATTGCCTCAGAAAAGGGCAGTGTGCCCAGTCAAAATGTGTGCATTTGCATTAGGTTCTCACATGGGTTTTAAGCGTATGAAGTATTTTTATATCCGTTATCTCATCAAATCTGCACAGACATTCTGTGATCAGGGCACTGTAGTCTTCATCCTACAAGTGAGGAAACTGAGGCTCTAGAAGGTTAAATGATTTGCCTTATTATTGGTCTGTGGCCAGTAAGTGCTAGAAAGAACTCATCATGTTTCTCAGGTCCAGAGTCTCTCTGCCCTACCACAGTAGCATGTCAGCTCTGTGCAGGATGATGAAACAACCTGCATTAGAGGCCCCATTTGTTTGTAGAACTTGGGTTGGCTATAGTCACCTAGGCCTACACTTTCCCTGAACAAAATAGATTGGGTTAATTTTTAAGTATACCACGGGGCCTGTTGACTCTAAATACTTAGTTTGTGTAATGAATAGACATACAGAATATAAATATGATTTTTTTAGCCTCAAAAAAGATACAAACCCAGAAATATCTTACATTTAAATTAGACTTTAGCTGCAATTCCTCCTTCCTCAATAGAGCAGAAATCAAGGTTTCCAATGGAAAAATTGGAATAAAAGGAATTTGCTTCAACTGGGTCAGTGTAGGATAATTTGAAGTGGTTTTTACAACTAGATAACTGTCAGTATGCAAGACTGGTGTAAGATTTAATAATGCTGAAAGCCTTTCTGATGTGGCCCACTGTGCCTTTGAACAAAACAAGCATACTGGTTTTGTTACATACCTGTAAACCTGCTTAATCTGTTTAGTGGTGCAGGAGAACAGGTCCCCATGAATGTTAGAGCAGGCTGACATCTCAGTCACCTAAACCAAGGCACTTTCTGAAACTCTGTATTGGAAACCTCTGGCAGCTCTTTCAGTGCCCCTCCCCCATCCTTTAATATTGCCTTTTACTGGACACCAATATGATCTGTACCTTATAATCTTCAATGGGGTCTTCTTCAATATTATTCCTTAAATACATCTAAAATATATGCTTGTCAGCAATTTGCAGAGATAATTCTTATTTGCTGGTATATTAGCATCTAGTGGGGTTCTTCGTCATCTGCCCCTATGGGTTTCTAAGAGTGAAATTAAGGCACCATGGCACACTGGGGAAAATTTGAGAGCCTTTCCCAAATCTCTCAAATCCCTGAGAACTTTTCCTACTTCTAATTTCAAACTGGCTAGACTTTAAAAGTTCCTTCTAAAACAGGCCAAAAATCTACTGATTTATAGTATAGGAAAAGTCATTGGTATGAGCCTGCCTGAAACTCTTCCCAATTAATTTTCATTGATCACTGGATGTTTCTAAACCCAACCAAATTTTAACCATAAAGCAACTCTCAGGACTTCACAGCTAGACTTGTTGGTTCCTGCAGAATTTGTGCAGTTGACCTTTGATTTTCAGAACTGATTTATTTTTTTCAGCTCTAAATATTATAAAGAATATTTGAGTGTAAAATGTGCATTTCCCATTAATTTACATGATAAAATTGGAGATGAGGAAGTCAGAGGGTGTCACTGTTTTCTTCCGTACCCTCCCTTTCACTCAGGCTACTAAACTTCTCTTAGCTTTACTTCCTTCCCAACCCAGAGCCCAAGAGGAAACATTTAACCACTTTAACACCTATACCTTCAAAATCTTCTACCATTCTTCTTTCTACCTCATTTGCTCTGATGACCCCTAGACTTGTATTAATCCAACAATTTGCTTTATCTCCTACATCATTCAGGCTCCCAGGCACTGGTGGAGCAAATCACACACTTGCATTTTGTCAAAATTTTGGCATCTCCAACTTCAGGAAAGTGCTCAGTGCCCCTCAGAAACCCCTTTATGTATAATTGGCTGACACTCTTTCCCACTGCCCATACTGCCTGTCAGAAATAGTCTCCAATATCCTTAAGCCTCTACTTTATTATATTAGCAAATAACCTTTCCTCCACTATAAGCTATAATTTTTCAACTTCTCATCCTGTATGTATAAACTTACATATGGTACCATTCTTTTCCTGTCTCAAAGAGAAATATCTCTTTTACTATTTAAGCTTTAAATTTAAGCTGCATTCCATTGCCATTCATTCATCCATTCATTCAATACACATTTATCAAATATTTATTATGTGCAACTGTGCTTGAAGCTTGTGACATTGTAAGCAAGGCAGATTTGCCCCGTCCTCAGGAAATTCTGGATGCAGAAGATAAGGAAATAAAATTGATAAATGAATGCTCTGACAAAAACACAGATGACTGTACTAAAAATTAATAGAATAAATATGCTGAAATAAATTTTAAAAAATGCTATTAATAAAACTCTGGTATGATAAAAAAAAAAAAAAAGAAGAAGAAGAAGAAGAATAGAAGAACAGCTACATTTTGAAAGAGTGGCCAGAGAAAGAACTGAAAGAAGGCCAAGGTGACCAAGTGGAGTGTGTGGGGACAGGGGAATGACATACAGTTGGAAAGATGGGCAGGTATCCGTTAGGTTATAGTCAAGAATGTAGATATTTTTCTTTGTTCCATAGTAATTGACTGAAGGATTTTAAACAGGAAAGTGGTTTGGATGTGACAAAGAGTGGAAATAGAGATTGTTAGGAGACTTCTGCAGCAAGGGAGTGAAGCTCAAGAACTAGGGGTGTCTCCGGTGAGGATGTAAAGAAGTTGAGTTTCGATATATGTTGGCACTATGAAGTCAGGAATATCTCATATTATTCTGAAATGCCAATGCATGGATCCTTTGTGTAGAATAAGATTATTTTAGTTTAGACAATCTGCTGTTTTATGTTAACATTAAATATATGATCACTACATGAAGATACCTAATCAAAATGTGTAATTTTGATTTTATGTTGTTTGACAATTCAGGACATGCTCCTATCACCCCTCAATTTTTTTTTTTAAGATTGGCCACAAATAATAAGGATAAATTAACTTTACCTTCCAGCTCAAGTTCTCAAACTGGCATATCAATGACTTGTAAGCCATTCTTTTGTTTTTTGGTTGGTTTCTTTTTGTTTTATTTTGTTTGTTTGATTTAGAAACAAATTCTCAGACCCTATGCAAACATCCTGAATTGATTTTTCTGGGGCTGAGGATTGGATTTGTATGTTTTTCTAAGGCTTTATCCATTATTATGATAACCAACCATTTTAGGGAACCATTGAAATTACAGAGCATAGCTGGATTTGCCTACCATTTCTTAAGTACCTACTATGTGTTAGATATATACTAGGTGAATTCATATAATATTTGTATTTAATCTTACAACAAGTAGATTTTTAATGTTTGCTTTGCAGTTGGCAAATTGAGGTTCAAAGAAGTTATATAATTTTTCCAAGCTAGTAATTAAAAGAACCGATATTTGAGCACATATTCAACTGATTCCAAAATCCAGGCTCTTAGTACAGAAAAACCAGCAGTGGAATGAAAACTGTTTTTGTTCATATTCCCACATACATTTTTTCTAGGCGAATGATGTTGGGTGAGTCATTTAACTTCTCAAGCTTCAGTCTGCTCTATTTGAGGAAGTGCATAATAATATGAATCTCAAGCGGTTGTCGTGAAGATTGACTTAAATTATGTACAAAACAGCACTTTGGCAACTATAAATAAAGTGCCATGCAAACATGGTTTGTTTTACTATGACTTATACTCTTATCTATTTCTTATTTATGGAATAAGTAAACTGTCACCATGTTACGTGGCAGAAGTATAAGCTCCCACAAAATGCCACGTCTACTGCCAGCTGCTTCTATTCTTGTGGACTTAAAACTTACTGAATGATGACTTCTGGAGCCAGGCTGGACCAGAGTTTGAGTCCCAGCTCTGCCATTTACTAGCAGTAGAATCATGGACTAGTCTGTCCATGATTTTGATTATTCATCAACAAAAAGGGAAAGAGATGCTAGTGGTTTGATGCTTCAATTGAAATAATGCAGAGTGTTTATGGTATTTATTTATCAACATCCTCATCATTAATGACTACATTACTGACAGTAACTGTGTTAGACGGATGGCAAATATGCACTATGAGGTTCCACTGGGCACCTCCTGTGAGGAGCAACACAGGAGGGAGGTGGAAGGATGCCAGCAGTGAGGTGGTGTGAGCTGCAGAGCATGGGAAAACCCAGGCCAGCTGCAGCCCATCTGAATACCAGTTCCCACTATAGCCTGGGTCTTAGTTCTATGCCAGCAAAATGATGTCAACTGTATAGCAGGCTCTCCGCAGGAACCCCCAGATAGATAGGGAAGCTGAAAATAGTTTAATTATTTGGCCCATATAAAGTGCCATAAATACATTCACATGCAGAGTGGGAGAAAGAATATATCCTTGGCACTTAGCAGATGGCTGGCTGGAAGGGCAGTCATAACTGCTTGGTAATGTTAAATAAGTCAGAATGCTCTCTTCTGGTATATGATCTAATAATGATAACAATAACTACCATTTAGTGAATTCCTATCCCAGGAACCATGGTAGACTTTTTAGGTACATTATCACTAGGATATAAAACTCTGTTGAATAAGAACCATTAATTCCCTCACTTTGCAGATGAGGAAACTGAGACACAGAAAGATTAAGGAAGGTGTAACTGATTAAAGATCTAAGAAATATTGGTAATAAGATTCACAATAGAGTCTAATTGCCTGTAAAGCCGAGATCCTTTCCACTGCAGCACAATGCCTCCACAGGAAGTTCTCATGTCTTGCATGGCTGGCCCTTTTATAGCAACTGGTGTTACTGGTTATTCTTCTGCTCTTTTATTTTGCATGTACCCCTCCCCAAGAAAAGGTACATTATAAAAATGATAATATCTTTATTGATTTATAAAAATCGATGACAAATAGAGAGAAGATAGAGTGAGCATATATGTAGATGCACACAATCACACACAGTGACTTTAAAACCATCTGTGGATCTTGTTAGGACATCTCTTGTGCTCTGCTTATATTCCGGCCCAGGTGTGCAGAACAGCTAGTTCACAATAACCTCCCAACCACGAGTGTCATCATGTGTTTTGTGGATGAGGTGTGGTCCACACTCCTGAGGTCCGTTCATAGTGTCCTCAACCGCTCTCCTCCACGCCTCATCAAGGAGATTCTGCTGGTAGATGACTTCAGCACCAAAGGTAAGAAAAACACTCAGGCTCTCTCTTGAAAAGTCAAGTTTCCTATGAAGCAATAGCCATTTGGATGACAAAATTGTAGGATAAGTTGATGAAGCATAAACATTTTATAAATGCTAAATCATTGTTTCATGCAGAGGTTTAAAGGCATAGGTCTCAGCATCTACGAGACATTAGAAGTCATCCAGGGCTCTGTTCAGCTATGTATTTCAGGCTTTCTCTCAGTTGTGACTCCCATACCATGTCAAAGTGATTTTCTAACTTATAGTTCCTTGGAGATGGGCACTTTGAAGTGTCCAGAGTCCAAATGCACAAATGCCTGATTATGAAATCTAATAAGCAAGTGCCCCACAGTTAATCAGATGCTCTTTCTACTGATCATAGCTTAGACTCTATGGAAAGCAAAGAAATAGAAGTCCTATGGCTTCCTCCTCAAGAGCAAGGCATATTATATGTTCAGTTAAGTGTTGAGAAGACAGATTATCAATGGGACCAGAGAGATGTTGTCCCAACCGAGTTCAAAAGCAGAATCCACTATGGTCTTTAAGTTTGTTTTTGTTTATTATAGTGAAGAATCTTATCCTTTGAATTTGTCAAATAACTTGTCTATGTAGGTGGTCTCATAGGTCCCATGACAGCCATATTACGAATTTCCTAAATGCTACCCATTTCAGAAAAGTTTAGTAAATAGCAAAGAGATGGCAATGTTAATAGAACAGCTTAACCTTGGACTGTGACCACAGCAATTTGGGCAGTTTCTTTAGCCCCAGAGTTCCTACCATAATCACACTGAGCTCAAGAAGCAGTGAGATACCCTAGGAAAACTGTCTGAAAATCTTAGGAAATGACTTTGAAAATATAAACCCAGTTACTAAGTTGAAAAAAGTCCCTATATGAGGGCCAGGTCCAGATTCTGTGGGACCTCAAGCTTATCCAATTTTCAGGGTCCTCTTTTTAGAAAACGAGCACAAACATAGAAAGTGAGCTGCCAAAATATTCCTGGAAGCCATTCCTACCTGGGATAGCTGTCAATAGCTTAATTACACACCTGAATGACCACAAGCCACATAAATATACCCCACAAAACTCCCCAAAATGTTCCTCTAGCTGGTTCCCTCTACAGTCATCCAATAAGAGAGGAAAGATATAATGGAGGGGAAGTCTGAGTAGGATATGTTAGTGGTCTTAACCTCCTACTGTTGCACTAGCTTTCTTTTGCAAATTACACAATCTGCACACAATTGCTTAGCCTCTTCCCTGGATCTTGGAAGAGACTTTTGCAAGGGGTGGGGGTGGGGAAAGAGTTGCAAAGAAGCCTGAGCTTCATTTATTTTGAGGTAAATCTTCCCCTGCCTTGACAAATACTCAGAAAAGGTGATCCCTTCACTGTGTAATTTTGTAATACTTAAAAGAAGGATTTGGGGTTTGAGAAATCAGACAGCTTAGAATGTTGAACTCAGACAAAATTCTTCTAAGAAAATGATGTCAGGAAATAAAATTATGGCCCAAGGAACAAACATTTAGTGATGATAATAATGTCATAGATTTTGGAATTTGACATTTAGGAGACATTACTTCTGATACTATTCAGACTTAGTTAATTCCAGTGTTATCTTGTTTATCCTTACTCTGATATAGACTACTTAAAAGATAAGTTGGATAAATACATGTCTCAGTTTCCAAAAGTCCGGATTCTTCGCCTCAAAGAGAGACATGGCTTAATAAGAGCCAGGCTGGCAGGTGCACAAATTGCAACAGGTAAGAAGTATTCATTTTTTTTTGTTTTGATTATATTTTTGTCTTAATTTAAAATGTTTTTCAAACATTAAAGCAAATTTAAAAGGAAAGCACAATGATACCTATATATCCATCACTAAATTCCACCAATTTGTAAACTTCTGCAATATGTCCTTCATCACACACATACACAGACACATGGTTATATCTACATACTTTTTTCTGAAGCTTTGAAAAGGAATTTGCAGATATTTTGACACTGTACCCCTAAGTACTTTAGTAGGCATTTCTGAAGAATGGGAACATTCTCCTAAATAAGCATAATTTTCATACATAAATTTTCACCTAAGACATACTTTAAAAATTTTTTTCTTATTGTTCTCAAAATGGATTTTTTTAAAAAAAATATTCAGGATCTAATTTCATGCCCTGCATTTGATTGTTTGGTCCCTGTACTCTCTCAATCTAGGATAGTCAACTCTATGCATTTCATTTACATACTATTGTGTTGGTTAAAGAAAAATCCAGGCCATTTATTTGGTACAGTTAACCACATTCTGAAATTTTCTGTTTCCTCATGTTACTTACAGGATAAATAATTTTTGCCATGAATATTATATAGAATTCTTCTATAATCCTACAAAGATATACAAATATTATGTACCCAATAGTAATTAAAAGTAAAAAATAAAAAGAATTTAACTACATAGGTGATAAGAATTGTGGCCTTATTGCTTCATACCAGGAGGTACATAATGTCAGGTCATCCCACTGTTGGTGATACTAACTTCGAGAACTTGGTTAAGATGTTGACAGCTAGATCTTTCCTTTGGGAGTAAGAAACAATTTGTGGTGTGATACTTTGACCCATGAGAATATTCTGTTTCCTCACATTTTAGCCAATGGCATAACATTTGTTGATGATCATTGCTGGAATCAATTATTACACCAAGGGCTGCAAAATTGTTTTTCTATCATTTTTTCTCCCTTTTTTTTTTTAGATGGGATTCATTTGTAATGAAGAAATCTCTCTCCCTACCCTTTCCCCCTCTTTATCCCTTTCCCTCTCATCCCTAATCACTATGGATTTATGGCTTTAAAAAATTCAGTGTGAATAGTATCACCATTATTCTTTTTGGTGTTCAAATTATCCCAAATTTGACCACTAGGAACTCCTTCAAACCTATGCCTTTTTGACCTGACCCCTTCACTATTTCAGGACTTTAGAATCTTTTCATTCTTGAGTCCTCACCTCTTCTTGGACCTATATCTGTTCTTTCTATAGCAATTTCTGTCTTCCTAAAGAGCAATATGCCACCTTTTCCTCTCCTCTTTTGAGTGTGTGGGTGTTGGTGAGTGAATGAGAGGAGATGAATCTCTTCTGTCTGTGAGTATTCTAAAAATAACATCAAACATTTGGGTTTATTATTATATCTTTCTAGGGAAGGATCTGTGCTCCGTAATAATAGCTGACTTTATATAGCAGGTACCATTCTAAATACTTTCTGGCACCATTCTAAATTCTTTCTGTGCTAACTGATTTAATCCTCACTATAACTCTGTGAGATAGGTACAATCATTTCCTCATTTTGCAGATAAGAATACAGAGGCAAAGTGAGGTTGAGACCTACCCAACTTCCCCCAACTCATCAGTGGTAAACCAGCATTGGCACTAAACTCCCTGGCTCCAAAGTCTCTCCCATTATTTACTGCACTTTGCTACCTCTAGACATTTAACCGCCACTCTGTCGCTGTGAGCCCTAGCATTGTGGACCTCCACCAGTTTAGATTCAAGCATGTGCACATGGGGAATAATCTGCTCCCCTATGCTTCACTTCCTTGCCTTCACATTTGGATCTCTCCTTATCCCATTGGTTTGCTAACAAATTTCTTCACTTTGTAATAAAAATTTTGGTTTTTTATTTCAGAATATTATAGGGGTACAAATGTTTAGGTTACATATATTGCCTTTGCACCACCAAGTCAGAGTTACATGCATGCCCACCATCCCCCATACAGTGCATACCTTTACCCATTAGGTGTGACTATACCCATACCGTCCTCCCCCTCCCCACCTGCTTGATACCCGATGAATATTACTTTCATATGTGCACACAAGTGTCGATCAGTTAGTACCAATTTGATAGTGAGTGTATGTGGTGCTCGGTTTTCCATTCTTATGATACATCACTTCAGAGAATGGGCTCCAGCTCTATACAGGGTAATACAAGAGGTATTAGTTCACCATTGTTTTTTGTGGCTGAGTAGTACTTCATGGTATACATATACCACATTTTATTAATCCACTCATGTAGTGATGGACACTTGGGTTGTTTTCACATCTTTGCAATTGTAAATTGTGCTGCTATAAACATTCGAATATAGCTGTCTTTTTTATATAATATCTCTTTTTCCTTAGGGTAAATGCCCAGTGGTGGGATTGCTGGATCAAATGATAGTTCTACTTTTAGTTCTTTGAGGTATCTGGGTTTTTTTGTTTTTTGGTTTTTTTTTAAGACAGAGTCTTGCTTTGTTGCCCAGGCTAGAGTGAGTGCCATGGCATCAGCCTAGCTCACAGCAACCTCAAACTCCGGGGCTCAAGCAATCCTGCTGACTCAGCCTCCCGAGTATCTGGGACTACAGGCATGCACCACCATGCCCGGCTAATTTTTTCTATATATAGTAGTTGGCCAATTAATTTTTTTCTATTTATAGTAGAGACGAGGTCTTGCTCTTGCTCAGGCTGGTTTTGAACTCCTGACCTTGAGTGATCTGCCTGCCTCGGCCTCCCAGAGTGCTAGGATTACAGGCGTGAGCCACCGCGCCTGGCCCTTTGAGGTCTCTTAATATTACTTTCCATAGAGATTGTACTAGTTTACATCACACAAAAACTGGCATTGCAGTAACAGTTAAGATTCTTAATGAGAGAGACTGCATTCAAAAAAATTAAATAGCATTGCACACTTAATTTCCTTTGGAAAGTAATTATCTATGAATAATGTAAAATTGGATAGTCAAGAAATAGTCCAAGTAAACTTTTGAGTTGAGATCTGGGTAAAGAATATTCCCAAGCAAATGGAACAAGAAGTGCAAATTTGCTAATGTGAAGATGAATTGGCATATTTAAGGTAAAGAAAGAAGTTCATTATAGCTGATAGGCACTGACCATGGGGAAGAGTGGTAGGAGATTCATTTGGAAAGAAAGGCAAAAGCAGGCTTTTGTAAAGTTTTATGCATCCATTAAGGAGTATAGGGATTATATTAATGATATAATGTGAAGCCAATAAAGGACAGTAAACAGGAAAATAAAATTGTCTGATTTACATTTTGAAAGCTCGCTCTGGCCACCATGGAGAAAATGGCTATTAGGGAGATGGGAAAGGAAGTAGGGAGGCCAGATAGAAAGCTATTATAGTTGTCCAAGTACCAGGGAGGTTCCAGTGTAGATGGAGAAAATTGTCAGATTCAAAATATACTGTGGATATGGAGCCTACAGGACTTGCCATCAAATAAGATATGAAGAGAGTAGAATGAAAATAATCAACAACCCTAGGGAGTCTTCAAAATGTCTGACTAGAGACATCTGGTACTCACCTCCTCCACAAAGAAGAACCAACAGAGTAAGTAGATAATCACACTTTGAATAGATCATCTAAGAGAGAACACTGGACTCCTACAGAGAAGGACAGGAGAGGCTCCCTAATGCAGGAAAAGGATAACTGAGTAACCAACTCAGTGGTCCAAATTCCCACTGTAGACTCCTGCATTCTAGCCACAGGAAAGCCCTGATTACAGGGCCCAAGACTAACATAGTGAGGTGCCTAGAGACCACATGAAGACATTGCTCCAGAAAGGGAGCTCACACTGGGTCCCACACAACCACAGACCCCTAAACAGCTACAGTAAGGTGCCACATTGAGAGCCCAGCCCCCACCCAACTGCATCCTGCCTGGAAGCCCAACAGAATTGCATCTCCACATCTCTGGAGCCCCAATGATATTCTCTGCCCAAAGCCACTGAAGGGTAAGCCATTGGCAAAAACCCCACTGCCCTTGCAGGGAAGCCACTGTGCATTTTCACATATCCCGAAGACAAATTCTCCCACCTGGAGCATTTAACCCAACTATAAGCTACCTATAAGAAACTCATCTCATCTGTAAAAACACATACAGACTGAAAGGAAAGAGAAGGAAAAGGATATTCCATGCAAATGGAAACCAAAAATGAGCAGAAGTAGCTGCACTTACTTATATCATATAAAGCAGATTTGTAAGTTAAAAAGAGACCTACAAAGTCATTACATAATGATAAAGGAATCAATTTAGCAAGAAGATGTGACAGTTCTAAATATATACGCACCCAAAACTAAAGCACCCAGATATATAAAGCAAATATTATTAGATCTAAAGGGAGAGATAGACTCTGATACAATAATAGTTGAGGACTTAAGCACCCCACTCTCAGCATTAGACAGATCATCTAGACAGAAAACTAACAAGGAAACATTGGATTTAAACTATATATTAGACCAAATAGACCTAACAGACATTTAAAGAACATTTCATCCAATAGCCATAGAACACACAATCTTCTCATCAGCACATAGAACATTCTCCACTACAGACCATAAGTTAGGACACAAAACAAGTTTCAACAAATTTTTAAAAACTAAAATCATATCAAGTATCTTCTCAGACCACAGTGGAATAAAACTAGCAATCAATAACAATAAAAACTTGGGAAACTGTACAAATATATGGAAATTAAACAACGTGCTCTTGAATGACTGTTCAGTCAGGGAAGAAATTAAGGCAAAAATAAATGAAAATTGAAACACAATATACCAAAATCTATGGAAAACAGCTAAAGCAGTGCTGATGTGGAAGTTTATAGCAATAAATACCTGCATCAAAAAAAAGTATAAAGATTCCAAACAAACAATTGAATGATGTATCTCAAGGAACTAGAAAAGCAAGAACAAATTAGACTTAAAATTAGTAGAAGGAAATAAATAATAAAAA